CTTCAGCACAGAGGCCAGCTTATTTTTAGAGCTACATGCATCATATTTCACTTTTCTGGCTTTGAGTTTCATGGTTGCCTTTTGGAGCACTGCTAACGCAGTGTGGCATGTCGGAGATTTAGGCTTCTAATTCCCCCTGGCTTTGCATCGTACAGGATTACTAACATCTGTATGAAGGGGCACAAAATGTTGCCGGATCGGTCCGTGGGGACTTTGTGCCCAAGCATAAAACAGCTCCTCGAGACCTAGTTGTGTCTGGCTTCCCCAGCCCACGTGGTGGTACCTGGATCCAGCGGTCACCCTTGTTCTCCAGCTCTGGGCAGATGGTCAGCCTGCACCTGGTTTTCTGGGCAAGGTTGCTTATGGCCTCGACAAAATCGGTGTTGTCGCTGGCACTGGAAAGGAGCGGGGCGCAAGTGAGGCTGGGACTAAGGAAAGACTTTTTCTTTCTCGTTCCCCGCCCCCCTCCAAGTAAACTTGGGAACTTCCCCAACAGGCTCAAGTCAAACAGTGGGGCACTAATTGGGCACGCCTCATTAATCCACTAGTAATCCAGGAGGTTTCCTGCACCACCATAGTCAAACACCTCTTTTTGTGAGTCAGGAGGGAATATTTTTGTTTCATCAAGCTTCTCCACCCGTCCTTGGCTAGTTGGGTCCCTCGGCAAAGCATGTCCTTGCCCTTCTCTGGACAACCTTGTGACAGAAGTGATTCTCCCCCTCGATTCAGCACTGGGGAGGCCACATCTGCAGTCCTGTGTCCAGTTGTGGGCCCCCACTACAGGAAGGATGTGGACACATTGGAGAGAGTCCAGGGGAGGGCAATGAAAATGGTTCAGGACATGTCTTATGAGAAGAGGCTGAGGGAACTGGGCTGATTTAATCTGGAGAAGAGAAGACCAAGGGGCGATTTAATAGCAGCCTTCACCTCCCTTCAGCGAGATGGAGCTGGGCTGGTCTCAGTGGTGCAGGTGACAGAAGGAGCAATGGGCTCAAGCTGCAGCAAGGGAGGTTGAGGTTGGATATTAAGGAAAAGTTTCTCACTGGGAGGGTAGTAAAACACTGGAACAGGCTCCCCAGAGAGGTGGTGGCATCTTCATCCTTGCAGGTTAAGACCTGACGAGACAAAGCCTTGTCTGGGACAATGTAGTTGGGGCTGGTCCTGCTTGGAGCAGGGGGTTGGACTAGATGTGACCTCCCGAGCTCCCTTCCCACCCTCATTTTCTGTCTCTAAGGCTGGGCATGAGGGACTAGCTAGGCTGAAGTCAAGCATTTCCAGGGGAAGCTCCTGATCACATAAGGTCTACCCTAATTGAACCCAAAAAGTCCCAGCCTAGCTGTACTAATCGCACCCTGCACGTATCTAGCACTTCGCATCTGTTGGTCTTAAAGTGCTTTGCAACAGGAGGTCAGGATCATCATCCCCACAGAAGCTTTCTCTTCAGGATGCTTCTTCCTACCCAGCCTGCTCTGGAGAGATGACAAAGTGACCCTCACCTGCAGACGTAGATCTCCAGGGGCTGCAGAGTGTTGGGGGTCATTATCCAGGGCGCCACGCGGAAAACGACGGTGTCTGTGAAAATCGGGGTCTCGGGGAGACTCTATTAAGGGAGCAAAGCACAGACAGACAAGGGAAGAGTCAAGCCTCCAAATACCCGGAGCAAGTGGAAGACACCTGCTTGCATTTGTTCTCTGCCACCTCCTCCACACTGGCTGTCGTGGTGACTTGTACCCTCTTATTTCTGCTCCCTGGTGCAGACTCTGCTCGCTGTAGTTTAAAGCCTCTTGCATGAAGGTTTAAAACCTCTGCCTGGAGGTGGGGGAGGTTCGGGTCTAGCCTTCCCCTTCCAGTGTAATGGCCCCACAACAAGGGTTGGCTCAGTGACTTCCAATGCTAAAGCAATATTTCTGTCATTTTGGCAAGAATGAGGACTCCACTGGCTGGCTCTAGTGGGTTTATTTAATATATTTTTGGATTTATTCTGCCAGCTCAGGAGCAGTTGGGGGGACTTTCTATTTGGCGTGAACTTCAGAGCTTGGTTCATCTTCCAACCATTGATTCTAGGTCACTGTTCACCATATCTGTCCTAGGCATCCTCAGTCCCCCTCCTCATTGCATCCCTTGAGCTCTAGTATGTATCGCCAACTTTATTGTCCTTTCTGGATCCCTTCCTAATGCGTCTCCAAACTGTCACAGCTGCCACCTTTCTCCTTTTGCAGTAACCTTGCTTAGCAAGCTATAGAAGTAGTTAATCCTAATGGACCATGGAGACGGTGCTAATTGGGAAAGAGCACGGCACAAGTGAGACCATGCTTATCTACCCTGTTTGGCTGTTGACATGGGGCACCACATTCACACTGGCTATTTTATGGACATTGGGAGAAAAGCAGATTAGACTGGGGTTGGGTTTTATTCTGGTTAATAATTAGTTTCTGTTTCCTCTCCCCTGCACCCTTCAGCAAGCCGTTGCAGGAGCAGCTTTTCCTCTTGGGCTATGCTGATACCCACTGGCAGGCTGGGAGCAAGGGCCCGGCAGCAACTGGAAAACCCTCAATCTCAACTGGTGCATGGTCTCAGCAGAAGCACCTTGCTCTGGGAGAGATCAGGGGAAGGAGTCACAAGCTTCTCACCACCCATGATTGTAAACCCACCCTCCACTCCCTGTATCGCTTTGTCCTCTCTTGTATACGTGTGTGTGGTCCATCTACCACAGAAGTAGATGAGCCTTGGCTGACCCTGACCTTGGAGAGTATTTTATTTGAGTCAGAAGCTCATGTTTTAACATCCAGAGGTTGTAGGTTCAATCCTAGATGCCCATGAGCCATGCACAATGTAATGCAATAGTAGCCAATGACACATGCAGGGGTGTAATTGCATCTTTAAAGCCATAGCCATTGCAGAAGCTCCATTTAGTCCAGCCCAGACATTCAGATCTAGTCAGCATGTCAGCTTATTGTACCTTGTGTGAGGTATCCAGCATTGTGGTGTGGAAGGAAACCAGCCCTGAAAAGTCGGCATCTGGGAAGGCCAGCCCTTCCACGTAGAACGTGTGCTCCTCCTCGCCACAGGCATGCTCCACCACGTAGAAGAGCTTCTCCGGTCCTAGGACGTGTGTGTGCTGCTCAACCAATTCATTGCCTAAGAAGGAAGAAGAGTGAGCTGTAAGTTTTGGGGGAACCACTCTGCGCATGCTATGCAGAAGTCACCCAGCTGTACCCAGCATCCACGGGTCAAGCTTCCAGGATCTCCTCCTGGGACCCACCAGCTATTGGGGTGCAGAGAGACTTGACCACTGAATTGCCTCATCTGGGCTGTGTTCTGGCCAAGACCCTCGGCTGTGGGGCAGGAAGGTACCAGCCTTTGCACTCCCTCCAGACCTTGGGTGAGACCACTGCTTCCCACTGGAAAGAGCAAACACCCCTGCACTAAGACATCCCTCCTAAACCCATGGAGAACTGTCCACCTTGGATGGAAACACTTTGAATCATAGATATCTAGGGCTGGAAGGGACTTCCATAGGTCATTTAGTCAAAGCCTCTGCCTGAAGCAGGAGCATCTCCATCCAAACCATCCCATGCAAATCCATTGTCCAACCTCTTAGCAAAACCACACTGCCAAGTTGTGTAAGTGTTTGCCAGGCTGGGGCATAGGTGTAAAGGCTGTGGGGCTGCACTCGGATGCAGGGCACTGCCCTCCGGGAGTGAAGCCCTGGTGATGGCACAGCTCATCTCACTGCAGATTGACATCTTGTTCCTGCTCCTATTAAACCAACACCCACGTAGGAGAGGGGGGAAGCTCTTTCGACTAGATGGGCCAACCCACCTAACTCCCACCCTGTCCCATTTGGGGTGTGGTAAGTTGCTTTAGTATAGCTGATGGACTGGGCACAGAGCTACGGTGGAGGGAAATGTAGGCTCTCTCTCAGCATATTGCATTGGCTCTTTCATCTCGGGGCCAGGGCAGCCCAAGAAAGGCTGGGTACTCACTGTGAGCATAGAAGACTCCTACTTTATCAGCGTCGGACCCGGAAACGTGGAGAACCAACTTGTGATTAGCAAAAACTGCAGCCGGGCCTCGAGTTCTCAAGACCATGAGTGACATGTCCCTGAGGTCTGAGCACGAAAGGAGATCAAGGAGAAAAGAATAAGTCTTATTAAGAAGTTACAGCTTTTGGATTCATCCCAGCAAAACCTCGGGAACTGAATGTTGCATTCAGATAAACACGTAAGAGGCCAGCGGCTCTGCTACAGCAAGTCAACCTTACTCCACTGACCTCCCTGCATCTTGTGGGGGCTGCACTGTCTACGCAAGCTCCAACAAATCAAAAGACACGGGTTTCATCAAAATGGTTTCTCGACCAGCTCCAATATGGAGTGTGAATATGAGCAGCAACGGGCTCCTTTCACACCAGGAATTTAAAATTTGTCTCCCTTGAGTTGCTTTTAGTTTTCCTATATTGTAATTTCATCTTCAAACAGCTCCACAAATGCTGTAAGTGCTGAGCGATGTTCTTTTTAAAGTGCAACTTCGGTTGCTCTATCTAGTATCTCCAGGGGCTTATCACGCGTGTATTGAAGGCAGCAAAAAGGGGAAGGTATCCAGAACTTTTACAATCTTTTCTGTGCCTGATGAAGGGTGTTTGTGCCCGAAAGCTTGCAATTAAAGACTTTTTTTTTGCAAAAGTCTTGTTGGCCTAATAAAATATCATCTCTACTATGAGTCATGATTGCCAAAAAGGGGAATTTTGCTTTTGCTGGGACTGTTCCTAAAGGAGAAAAATTGAAGTCGTATGTAGTTGCGAGCTTAAAACGCTGGATCAATGTTTTTCTTTCTTCCCCACAAGCTGATGCTGTGTTGCCTCATGGGGAGCTGTGTGATGTGGGTTAGGAACATGTATAAACTCCATTGTTAATCCATATGCTTCTTGTTTCCTGGAGAGCTGAAGATCAGACGGGACTCCTGAGCACTCAAAACTAGAAGCAGTTGGGTGCACAGGAAAGGAGGAGGATATGGAGTGTGTGTAGCTATGAAATTCCCCTGCTAAAATGCTCCTGGGATTTATGCCTTTAGATCGGATGCATCAAAACGTGCAGTCAGCCCTCTGTATATCTGAACAGGGGCTTGCACAAAAGGCAGCCAGCAGCTGGCTTCGCTGAAATAAAGAACATCTGCTACTTGAGACTTAGCTCAACCTGGGACGCTCTTATTGAACTGCCAGTAGGTTGCTAGTCGAGTTGTTTCAAATGAAGCGTTACAGGTCTAACACTTTTCACATCCTTATGGTGTTCTTATGCTCTCATAGAAATGCCTAAAGCAGATAAAGGGTTTCCTGGGTATTTCCAAGAGAGCCCTAATGGCAGCAAATGGTGGAAAACCAAGCCTGGCTTTGAGAGGAGTCTGTAGACCTTGCTGGGAGTCGTGTTTGGCATTGCCACCCTTCACCTCCCCAGCAAAGTACCTTTACAAGTTTGCACGCTATTATCCTCGTTGTCCATGGTTTCAGACGTTGGCTCATCCCTGTCGCAGTTCACCAGCAAAATGGCTCCTTGCCCACCTGGCCCCCAAGTCCAATTTCTCTGGAGAAGCAAACCAAAAAGCAAACTAGGAGCAGATAAGAAAACTAAGAGAGCAGAGACCCGGACCCAAATGCTTTCACCTGCAACCACAGTAGTGAAAGCCAAAAAGACATCCCCGTGATGCAACTGCTTCCGGTTGCTTTCGCCCTGCAGAAAGTATGACTCTCCCAGCAGCTGGAAGCCTTGCAAAATCCAGATGTGCATCTCCATCTTGCCCACTCCCAGGTCTCCCAAAGATCTGCATCCAGTGTTTTGAATTCCACCACAGGGGCCAAGCACCCAACTTTTTGGCATCAAAATGACTTCATTTCTCATTTAAGCGAGTTTCACCGGGAATGTAGATAATTGAGACCCTTGCACTCAAACTGTTGATGAACGAGACCCAGCAGAAAAATGTGTTCAATCGTGGACTCCTAGACTTTTAAGAAATGGTGAGAACCACACCTGTGTGGACAGACAGGGTTGTGGAGACCTCTCCATAGCCATGACATGGGCCACCAACCTCTTTCAGGGATGATCGCTAGTGGTTGGAAGAGTCATATTAAGTATTTCATATAGTTCAGGGGTTGGGTTTTTTTGGATCCTTGAAGTTAGTTGTATTTTTTTGCTTTTGGGACTCCTCCTCTCCTCAAGCTGTGTCCTTTATGCTCATTATTCTGTGGTGCAGCCCTGGGATGACAGGTTCAAAGCTTGCATGGCCTATTGCTCTCTCTTGTACTGCTTCTATACAGGGTCTTCATAAAGTCCTGGTGCACAACTTAAGTTATTAAAGTTTAAAAGTGCACCAGGACTTTACAAAGACCCTGTATAGAGATGAACGGTCCTTACCTTATCTGTCGCTTTCTTCTGCACTGTCCCACTGCGAGTCGTGTCAGCCTCCAGGGACACTTCTGCAATGTCACAGGAGAAAGAGAACCCAAGTGGTACCTATGAACAGGACCCAGCCATCTTCCCTCAGGGCGAGGGACCTTTTATGCTGCATTATGGGCATCTGCATACCAATGCAGGCCATGCTGCCACAGGGCAACACGGGGCTGTCACTCTCCCCATCCCAGAGAAGGAGTTATTCTGTGGGGTGGATTTTATTGCACTGCGGTTCTGCTTACCGACACAGGTGAGGTACAGCATGGTTTTCTGCAATGGAGTCTGCACATCCTTCCCATAGTACAGTATCCGAACCTGCAAAGATGCTGTCCGGTCACTGCTGTTGTCGGCACACCATCATTTCTACTGCTGCTTATCGCCGAATTGGGCACAGTCGGCTGGCCTAGTGCTATCCCATCTCTATCTATAGAGTGGGGATTCGCACTTTTTATCCCAAGCAGCCTGTTGTCTTGATTTAGACTATAAACTCATCAAGGCTGGGTCTGTCTCCTGTTTCATGGGTCTTCACTGCCTAGCACAATGGGTAACAATGGAGTCACAGCATCACAGGAGTGTCTGGGACCCTGAGGGTCAGCTCCTCCAACCCCTGTGTTGCTTCCTCGGCGATGAGCGCAGTCAAGATAATATCAAAATGAACGCATTTGTTGGAACAAAGCAACAAGATCAGCTTGCTGCAACGACCTGGGCTTACAGCTCATATTACCCCAGCCAACGAGGGGGTGAACAGGGACATTCGTGCCCGAGGGCTCCAAACACCTGCACGCTGCGGGCGAGGGAGGACCTTGCTAGCCTAGAGGCAGCAATTAACTCCAAAGCAGACTTCCATTATCTCCTTTTTGTCTGGTTCAGAACCAGATCAACATTTCTTTCTATTAAGAAACTCCTATTAATGCAGCCCAGTATGCCGTTAGCCGCCTTCACAACACGGGCACACAAGGAAGTTTCCTCTTCTTCCTCCGTATACATGCTTCTCCCTTGCAAGACCAACCCACCTTATGATCTCCGACATCGTCGCTCGGCCTCCCCATAGTCACCACCACCTCCGCTTCGGCACCGAGGGGCCATCTGGGCTCGCTTGTTGGCATCTGCATAGGCTGAGGGGTGTGGACAATGTAGACGTCGATGCCAGGGCTTCCTCGGGCATCAAACCACATGGCATCCTTTGGGGCTGAGCTGAGAAGGAAATTTCGTTACAGGCAGAGCCAGAAGTTGTGAAACACCTTGAAAATCACCTGGTTTCTATAGGCTCAGGGTGTGTGATCGCTCCTGTTTTAAGCAAAGGACTTCAGAAGCAAGCCGAATATTGTTACGAAACATCTGGCACCCACAATAACCTGCAGGAGACCCTCCTTCTTGATAAAGGAGGCTAATTTCATTTGACTTTTTTTTTTGGCATGGCTGTAGGCAGCTTTTTCCCTGACATTTTATGGTGAATGTTTGCTGTACAAGGGCATAGCTATAGGCAACGGATAAGGACTTATACCAATCCTACAAACTGGTACAAGATATTCTTGTGCATTGTCTCCTGGCACTGTGTCTACTACCTATCTACACCTCTACTGTTATCTTGCACCCAGCTTAGATCAAGATTGTTGGCCCAAAGTAAGGGCAGGTCAAACAGTTCATCGAACCCCAAATGAAAAATATGGAAGAGGTTTTGGCTAGCGGCTCGGGCCCCGTTCCCCTTGGGATGGATGCGACGCCAGGCTGTTGAAAGACAATGCTCCATGTTTGCTCTGCTAAATGACGGGTGGCTAATTCCACTAATAAACCTGCCGCTTTCTGCTCTCAGCTTGCTTTCTAGTGTCTTTGGTGTCTTTTCACCTCCAATTACACCTAGTCATGTTGGCTTCCAGAGCAGCTTGGACGACTCTGGACAAAGTATGGCTTTTCCTTTCTTGGAAGGTATTTATACACCTTCAAACAGCTCCACAGTGTAAGGTAAGGTATTTATACACTCTCACTCTCTTTACTGCGTTAGCCAACCACTTGAGACAGGGCCGTGCTGTGACCTACCTCCTCCAGCTGAGGAGCTGAGACCCTGAATGCTTTGCCCATAATTAACCAAGACAGTGCTGCATCCACGTGGTATGAAAGCTCAGGGCCTATTTCAAAGGCAAATGCACCCTGAGGCAGAGTGGATTTGGCTGGCGACAGCAGTCTTTGTGGACAGGCGTTCACATTTTCAACCCTCTTTCCAAACAAAAGCAGCCCACGAGGCTCTCTTACTAGGAAGGCAACAGGGAAATGCAATGCAGGTCACCTTAAACAGCCCCAGTTTGTCACAAGAAAATGGTTTCCTCCTCACTCTCATTAGTTGCCGTCTCCCAATTGTGTCTGTGGGCAGGGTGAGGGTTGCTGTGTGCCCAGCAGCTGGGAACACCGCGTCCGTAAGAAGAGCTCTGCGCCTTGCCGTGTGCAGAAGCCGTTTTGGAAAGCAAGATGTTGCAAACAGGTGGAAAGAAACTTCCCGGTACAAGATGGACCAGGATGATCCAAGACTCGTTTTGTGACAGTCCTGCTCTTCCAGTGGAAGACCGTGCCAGCTGCCCGGCAAATTGAAGCTTGTACTGCCAAACATCGGCGTGAGGTCAGGAGGGAGACGGGCGACCTAAAGGCACAGCTCTTGGAGAACAACCCCCACGCGAAGGGCTGCGTCGGTCCCTTGCGTGAGTTCAACATCCTACCACGCCGGCCTTTGATCGGCGGCTAGCAAACAAGGGATTTGTCTTGCATGGGTCACAGCCTGGAGGGGAGGTCTTGGACTGGTGAGGATCTGCTCCCAGGTCCTACAGGACTGACTGAACCCCAGGGTGAGGAGTTGTTTCCTTTACCTTTTTTTGCTTTCCTATTATAAGGATTATCCCCAGAGAAGAAGCCTTGTTCATCAGGATTTCTTTCCTACTGATTCCTAGCTGCCTTGGAGAGGATGGTTAGATTTGCATTTAAGACAGTGGATGGGAACGACTTGTACATGCCCATCTTCTGCTTTTCTAGCCCCCAGAAGACTTATTAAATTGCACAGTCAATAGCTAACTATTAGTCACCGTGCACAATCAATCAAGGCATTGAGCAGCAAAACACTAAGTGTGACTAAGAGCACCTGATGTACCATCATGGCACGGACGGGCAGGGATTAACAAAGGGTTTTTTCCCTGTTACGAAGCGGTCTGTTTGCTTGCTTCATTGCTGCAAGTTTCCATTGTGCCCACTTTCAACACCTTGCTTCCTGAGATTGGTTTCTGCCTTGCATACTTGGCAAGGCACAGATGCCATCCTCTGAATGCAAGAGCCATCCCTGGGTATTTGATGCTGATGGCTCTTGAGATCTGGTGCACAGAGGTGACAGGTCAGGTAGGGAGGCAGTCAGGTCAGGGGGTTGGACTAGAGGACCTCTGGAAATCCCTTCTAGCCCTACTTCTCTCTGATTTATGACTTAGCACTGCCCCATTGGCATGCAGGAAACTTCGCCCTCCACCTTTGGGTGCTTACCATTTTGTTTCTTGCTGCGTGCAGACATTATGCACCTAGCAGTGGCAGCAGAGGCCTTTCAGCAACAGGGACCAGGCCTGCAAACCTCGTGAGATTTGGTTTAAAAATAACAAGATTGAAAATTTAATAATTCTTTGCCTTCTGGTTTCCCAGCCAGGTGGTACACTTAGGTCACAACTTTGGGGTTTCTCTCTGCAACCATCAGGCCTAGAAACTTTAATTAAAAAACAAAACAAAACAGTGTATATCTGACTGTCTCACCTAATCCCCTGATTCCAGGAGCCGGGACTTTATGAGTAGATACCATACGTTGCAATCAACTTGCAAGAGCCTGCAATGCCAATTAGACCTGAGTGAATGAGCCAAGAAGGTCTTAAAATAATGGCATAATCAATGGCAAACCTGGCCCTTTTCTGACCAGACTAAAGCCTTAATGCTTGGAGCTGGGGCATTAGCACAGGGCACAGCTGACAGCAGCAGCCCTGCCATGTAATTGCTATGTAAACCAAAGAAAAGGAAACACAAGGAGCAGCAATTTAAACCCTTTGCCCTTTCTCCTTCTAACCCAGGTGGAGCTTGTCTTCTGTGTTGTCTAAAGGATTTAAACCCAGCCAGTTGCTTGTAGGGGATTTGTAGCTACAGCTGCATAGTCCGCAAATGCTGCTGTCCTACCAGACCATCCATAGAGGAACTCGGGGCGTCTCTATCCTGCCAGACAAAGGAAAGCTAGAGAGAGGGGCTGAGCAGCAATGGGAAGATCGTTGTTTAAAGCCCTTTGTACGGGGGTGGCACAGACTGCACCCAAGCAGGCTTTCTGCTGGTGTCTGACTGAGAAGTCAGGGAAGAAAAGGAGTTAAAGCCAGATTAAAAGAGGGAGAAAGAAGTCAGGCGAGCAAATGCCAGGTCTGCAGAGCTGTGCTGGGACTTGAAAGACGTATTCAGGGTGTGTGATGGTGCTCGGGAGGCATGGTTCAGTGGCTGGCTGTGCCTAAAATCACTGGCAGTCATGTGTTTCCTGCTTGTGTGAGCGTTGCCCAGCCGTGACATCGCAGTAATTCCCCTTTGTCTCTTCTCGTCCACTCGCACTGCAAACACTGAGCTGCAAGCAGCCTCTTGCTGTGCAGGTGCAGCACCGGGCGGGGAGCCCCGATTTGAGCTGGACCGGCGGTGAGCAGCTAGAATAAATGCATGGGGTCCTGTTGAGAAAGTCTGGGATCGGCCTGGCTGGGGACCCGGGGATGCAGAATGAGACCGGATAAGGAAAGCAGGGCCTGGCTGGTTCATGGAGCAGGCACATGGTGCCCCGCTGCACTGCATTTCCACTTGGGTCCTTCCCTCCATGCACCCATGTGGTCCTGGACTCGCCTTTACCTACCTGTGCTGTGCATCGCACTGACCCATTCCCTGACACAGGGGTAGGAGAAGCAGCTGGAAGAGGGAGAGGGAGACCAGACCCACCCCCCGGAGCAATAAGGGCAGCATGGGCCAAGCAGGAGCCCAGGGACCACAGGACTCCTGCAGCCTGTCAGGCAGCCCTAAAACAGGCCACCAAATAGCCACTAGATATATAATACTCTTCCTCCCAAACTGGGATTTGTCATTGGGGTTTAAGCCCCAGCCAGCTCTGAAATCTGGGCTGCTGCCACCCAAGCTGAAGGGGTAGCTGCACTGATGGGTAGCAGTAGGAGGCTTTTATCCTCCAGTGCTCAGACAGCAACGCAGTGCACTTAAGCCAGCGCTCTCCACTTTGCACTGACCGGGCTAGATTTGCCGTGGCGACCTGAAACCGAAAGGTACCAAAGCTTAAATCTGGACCGGGCACTATGCACGGGGCCAGGGAGCTGACCCTCCGCTTGATAAGGGCAAGTTATGGTAGCCAGACCCCGCGTTGCCCAGCCTCTGGTGTCCTGCCAGGCAGCTGGCATTGAATCCCACTTCTCCGGGACTGGCGATGCATCTTAGGGCGAGGAACGGAATAATATGGGTCACGTCAGCCCTGAGCAAACATTCACGCCTTAAGGCAAACATGACAGAGCACGGATCGAGTCCTCCCCCTGGGTACAAGTGCAAAGGCAGCCGGGCCCTAAACGAGGAAGTTCAGCACTCAGTTGCGACACACATTTGCAACTCCCAGCTTTCAAAGGAAGGTGAGACGGGGTCACACCAGGGTACCTGTAACAGGTAGGGGGTTGCCAGCCATGGGGGCATGAGTGCAGTGCTTGGCACTGTAACCTCATCCCCGATTCATTCATTGTAATTTTACC